TGGGGGGAACCAGGGATTGAACTCAGGCTGTTGCACTTGCTAGGCAATCACCTCTAATTTCGAACATGAAGGGTATTTATACTTTATACTAAAGGCTTTTTTTTTTCTTTTATTTTCTTTTCTTGGCAGAACCGAGGATTGAATCCAGGCCCTTGCACTTGCCAGGGAAGCGCTTATTCCACTGAGCCATCTCCCCAACCCCTTGCTTTTGTTTCTGAGATAGGGTCTCACTATGTCTTTCCAAAGGCCTTGACCTCACTATGAGGTCCTGACTGATCCTTGAACTAGCAAGTGGGGCCGGGGAGGTGGCTCAGAGGAATAAGCACTTCTCTGGCAAGCACAAGGGCCTGAGTTCAAGCCCCAGTTCTGCAAAAAAGTATCCTCAACTTCAGCCTTCCAGGTGCTGGGATTATAGGCAAGAACCCCCACACCAGGCTTGCTAACTCTTTAACAACTCAATCACCCCAGCACTCGGCATCCCAGGCTGAGGCAGGAGGGTTGAGTGTGAGACCAGCCTGGGATACAGGGTGAGCTCAGGGCCAACCTGAACTGCCTAGCAAGACTCTTTCTCAAAAAGAAAAGAAATGGATAACTCAAAAGACACCAGACAGTAAAATTCTAGACTCTTGATGCTCTTTAGAATTGAGATATTGGCACGTCCCTCTTTTGAAAAGGAGCCACCAAATGATTTGAAGCTGTCTTCAGCACAATGCTGATACTGGGGAATAAAACTCCTGACCTGAAAGGTACCTGGGGCAAATTGGTGTTTTCTAAAACCGAAGAATGAATTTTAGGAACAAATGGAGGTTATGAGCAGGACGTATTTATTGAGGCAAAGAAAGCTTCTGCTGAGAAACGACAGAAGGAAGGCCCTGGAGGATTGTTTCCAGGAAGCTGTTTCTTCCAGGGATTCTTATAGCGTAAAACCATGCAGTGAGGTATGTCTAAGGTGGAGAACATGGGAACTTGCTTAGGTGGGCATGAAGTGGAACAAAATAATGGTCAACCAATGAGATTATAAGCACCATCACTCAGGTAAAGTTGACTAAATTCAGGACCAAATGAAGAAGCCTGTCACATAATGAGTGGACACGAATACGGGACAGGGTCTCTTCCTGTTGGGATTGGGTCAGTGACTTTCTGGCTCTTTCAAGGTGGTTGATGTCTATGTAAGTTCTCTCTCTCTCTCTCTCTCTCTCTCTCTCTCTCTCTCTCTCTCTCTCTCTAGTACAAGGTCTCGCTACCTAGATCAGACTTGTAATGATTCTCCTGTTTGCGCCTCCCAAGCGCTGGGATGATAGGCGTGCACGCCCAGTCTCAATGGCCAT